TTTCGTGTCCGGCGCGGAGTCTGTGTTTTCATTCTTTCAGTCGCTTTGATTGGTTTGTCGCGTCATCTCAAAAATTTGATGAGAATAAGCAACTTGATCACGAAAGTACACAATAAAGTTTCCTCTCATTGACAGACGTTTTCCATAGTTATTTGATAAAAGCGATAGACCACTCTTTCTATGGGTTTACCGGCGCAATAAACCACTTGGGATGTTGAGAGAACACTCGAAAAGTTTGTAAATCACTCGCCTAAAGGCTCGTGAGTTACAAGCTTTCCTTGTGTTCTCCCAACATCCCAGGTGGTTTATTGCGCCAGTAAACCCATATTAAGTGTGGTCTATTGCTTAAATGAAACATAGTAAAAGCGTGCTTTATTGTCTTTCACCACATTACCTCTATATCATAAAGCAACTCGAGAAATGTAGAACTATAAAGCAACTCGAGGCTCGTGTTTTCTACATTTCCCACGTGTTCTCAAATGCCCGTCGTGTTTTATCATGGTGTAATACACGGCTTAAGCTTCTTTATTTGTTAATTAAAATTGTTTTTTTGCTGTAGTTTATCGTTTTCAGCTCGATGTTATTGAGTAGGCTGCTTCACTGCATGATTTGGAAAAACAGACAAAACTTGCTCTTGTTGTTGTTTTATATTTACCATTTATAAATATATTTACAACACATCAATGTATATAAGACAAGGAAGCCTAGGGAAGCCAATAAGGTTTATGTAAAGGACTACATTTAAGACACCTAAGAATTAACAAAAGAATAAAAATGCTGTCATCGGCGCGCAAAATGATCATAATTTAGGATAAAAAGTAGTTGAGCAAAACTAAATGGGCAGAAGCAAAGGAAGGAAAAAAAAAGAGAAAAAGCACACAAGCACACTAAGAGAAGTAAAATATTCTATTAATTAACATTGTAACGGTGCGGAAGTTACATTTCTAGGACGTGACGTACTCATTCAAGCAATCTACATTGAGATATATTCTTATCGCGAATAAGTACTTTTCAGCTCAAGTGACTAAAAAAAATTCAAAACTTACCAGCAAAAGAGGAAGAAAACAACACAACGGAAGCAGCAGATATCGAAATGCCATCACGTTTGTACAATGACTCTTAAAAATCTGCAAATTAAAAAGCAGATCGAGCAACTGAAAATTAGATGCGCCAACTGTTAATTGAAACTTGAAAAAGAACTGAGAAATACGCCAGGAAAACATTTGGAATGAACGATTTAGTTTTAAACGATCAATAGTGCGTGGTACGTTCAGGTGTATCGTGAGATTTTATCTGCGCGCTTGCCGGGTTTTAGGTCGGTTGTCTTTCGCAAGGCTTCGACGACTAACTCAGTTTGGTCCTTCATAAATAAATGAAATAAATACGTTTCGTTTTAGCGTGTGATCTTCATTTCATTGTCGAACGCGCGAGACCTTTCGCGTTTCGAAGCTTCCGTTGCAGCTTTGAGCTTACCCTTGTTACATTCAGCGCAAACATAATAGACC